ACTCTTTAGAATTTTCCCATATGAGCAATATCATGTCATTCTCATATCTCAACAAAGAAATGGAGATTCATATACTTTCAACAATTTCGCATGTATAATGTCAATTAAAATGTACCAAAGAACCAAACTAAATTAAAAGAAAATCTGTTATTTTGGTTTCTACCTTTCCCATACATGCAACTATTATGCATAATCAGATTCTTATGATTTCCTTCATCATTTTTAACAGACAATCTTTCACATGAAGTGCAAAATTTTAAAAATGATGTATTATAAGTATAATTCCACATGATTTTTGCAGATCCATATTCTGCCTTAGATGATAACTTTAGATGGGTTAAAATTTTCTTATTCCCTTGTGTCGGCAGAAACTTTCTTTCCTACCAAATGATTTCCTAGAAATAAATTATTACAGTTCTTCAATCTAGAGAATTATGCATCCCATGATCATCAACTAATGAATCTATAAACCATAAATGATTAAACCAATCATGATTTAAATTCGTGTAGAAATATTGCATGACTATCTGGACTTAAATCATCCATAAAATAAATAAAACATTACCGTCCACTTTTGTGTATAAATGCACGGCAAAAATTGATTTAGTCCCAAATTCTGACAGGATGATTTTGCTCATATCCATGGTTATTCCAAGATGCATAAATTTCAATACGTGATACATGCAGAATTGCATTTTGAACACATTATATTGGGTTTTCGTGCATGCACCTATTCAACTTTCCCTTTTAGATTTGCTATAGAATCTCAGATTGCATGCATAAAATATTCATAGAACGTACCGTACATATGCGTGAAATTGAAAAGCAATTTCGACTTACCGAATTTGGAGATAGTGAATTGAATTTACCAAATTTGAATATGAAAATCAGGATTCATATCTTTCTACAAATCGAACCATTTAGTGCCATCAAACGGTCCACACGAACAAAATTTATATCCTTCAACTTGATCATTACCGAAGTGGTTTCGTTCTCCATTGCCAATATATCGTTTGAGATTGTTGGGAAAATTATCGCCACTGGGGTTGGAGAACAAATGACATAGAAGTGATATCAAGAAGATGAAATAAACGTGAAGAACAAATCAAATATGAAAGGCTCAAACACGACATTATATCGTTGTCCTCAAA